GAGAACTGGCCCCCCGACTGAGCCTGGTTTCTCCCAAGGTTTTTTCTCCATTCTGTCACCGATGGAGTTTTGGTTCCTTGCCGCTGTCGCCTCTGGCTTGCTTAGTTGGGGACACTTCATTTCCAGCGATATCGTTGACTTGATTGCACAGATACTATTTAAACTGAACTGAGCTGGATGATGACATCACTGAATTCAATGATGAACTGCCTTTAACTGAAAAATGAGTGTTTACTATTGTCACTTTGCATTATTGACACACTATTTTCCTAATTAATGCTGTACAGTTGGTTTGACACAATCTGTATTGTTAAAAGCGCTATATAAATAAAGGTGACTTGACTTGACTATTATAAGCTCCATAGTTCTGGGTAAGACTTTGCAAAATTAAATGTGAGCAAAGTGACACATCTCTGATGCAATAAAGCCACTCCCCCACCTTCTCTTGCTCTTAAATTCTTCATAATTTCAATCTTGTAATCTTTGGCAGAAGAGAGTAGCCTTGTGCAAATACCCACACTTGTGGTCTCTGCACTTGACCACTTGACTACTTATATGACGTATTTCCTATATTTGGCCCAAGTGTTCAAGTGAGCATGAAGATCACAAGTGTGTGTCGAACTTTTCATTACCTGATGGGACACACTTGTAGTGTTGTAAAAATGCAAGTGTTTACATAGCTTTATTTGAATTTTAAATACTTTGCATTTTAAAATCAACTTCTAAATCACTAAATATTGTAGAAACTTAATTTGCTGTAAAGTTGCTTTGCAATGATTTGTATCATGAAAAGCGCTATACAAATAAACTTGACTTGACTTGACTTGCATAGACATAATAAATACCTAGACGCCTCATTGGTCGGTCGACTGCACGTCAACGTCGCCGCCATATTGGTCCGGGCAACTGTCATATCGGGACAGGCGAAAACATACCCGACTCGTCGGCAGCTTGGGCATCTACAAACTGTCGCACAATAATAAAAACAGATCTCGGGATATTATCTTTCACAGGTAAGACTGAACAGTTGTTTCTGTATGTTTTTTGGTAATTTTTAGCTTTATGTTGACAGCTTAATTAGCCACCAGTGTCAGACTATTAATAGCGAGCGATATCGCTAGTAAGCTGTGAAGCTGAGACTTTATATGAAATCAAAGTTTTAATGAATTCTTAAGTTTTAACTTTTATATTGTAGTTTATATCATAAAGTAAATGGTGTTATGAGCACAATATGTACAGTGAGCACTTTGACAGTTTTTAAGACCTGGGACAGTCTTGCGCACTTACTTCCTGGACCGCAAGTGTAGGTATTTGGACAAGGGGAGTGACTCTCTTGAGAAGTGAATTGCAGTTTGTATATGTTTTAAGGCATACGATTGGCTGTTTGCTAATGACATCACATTTTATGTGCATTCCCTCCATGAACTCAAAATCAAAGCCCGAGTTGACAGAAAGTTGATAATCAGCGTCATGGTAGCAACAGAGCCTGAGTAGATTGGTTTGGTTTTGTCAACTCAAACCCGTAACCCTAAGTTTGCTCAACTACCATCATGGTACAGGGCCCTGGTGTTCTTACTATTATGGGAAATAGCAACCCTTGCAGCTCTACTTTTGGAGAAAAGTCTAATGATCCAATGTTGCCTTGAAAACCAATCATTATATCACCGAAATGCTGTCAGAGTTGTATGGCAGTTGTTAGATGACAGCTCAAGTTGTATGTAACCGACAGTATTATTGCAATTTTGATATACCTCCTGCTTCTGGCATATGGTCTCAATCTCTACTCTTGACAAAAATGTATAGATACTATGATGAATGCATCAAAATCTAGCACCTTATTAAAATTTAATGAATTTAAAATGAAAATAGCATTAATGAATGCTCTAAAACCATAAATAGATCATTACAATTCTTAAAGTGAAGCAGAAAGTACATATACATGTAATAGCAGCATAAGTGTGACAAGTCATGGACTGAACAATTGTATTGTTTCACAGGTATTATGAAGTGGTAACTCTGGTATCCATATTCCAGGTAAATTTTTGTTGTTGTTTCTTCAGAATTGTATTATAAATACTTCTTAAAGGGGTCATATGATGCTTTTTTTAAAGATCATTATTTTGTGTATTTGGTGTAACAGAATATGTTGACATGCTTTAATGTTCAAAAAACACATTATTTTTCAAATACTGTACAATGTAAAGACAGAGCCCGAAAGGGGAATAGAGTCGCGTGACAGACACAGTGATGAAGCTGGTATGTGTTTGCAGCACACAAGCCACAATTAAGACAGCTGACTACACTGTGATGTGACCCCCCCTCTCTCGCTCTCTCTCTCTCGCGCTCTCTCTCTCTTGTTCTCTCTCTCGCTCTCTCTCTCTCTCTCTCGCTCGCTTGAGCATACACACACACACACACGATGCGCAAAACTCACATTTGAACAGTCAATAGCAAATACTTAAACTAATAACAAAACAGTAGCTGATTCAGAAGCAGATTGTCATAGCAAAGTCAGAATTACCTCCTCTCCTAGGTTCACGAAACGGTCGTCCATAAAATGCATTGCTGTTCTGTTGTAAGTAATCTTAAAAATTCCTAAATGCATCTACTTTCGGAAGGCCAAATAAAGTGCTTTTGCTTTCGCCCTAGAAACACACAGCGTCTCCCTGACATGGCTGCTTCAACACTAACTTTGCGTGCACATTTGGGCAGCATTATGCAAATATTTCCACATAGTGAGGTAGATATGTGGGGGCGTGTTAGAACGAGCCGTTTTAGGGGGGCGTGGCAGAGTCTTAACTTTGATAAAGAATATCTCTTTGGTTTTGAGACTTTAGTCTTTGCAACTTCAGGGATCTTATCTATGCACAATCAGCTTGTAACACTCCAAAGAGAAAGGAAAACTTGAAATCGCATCATATGACCCCTTTAAGTTTTTTTTTTTTTTTTGGTTTTCCTATCCTACAGTACACAAATGTTTACTGCACAACACCTAAAGTACAAAACTTAATAGATCAGAAGTGCCTTCAGGAAGAGTGTATACAGCTAGGTATAGTAAGCTAGGTAAGCAAGTTCATCGATTCCAAATTCATGTTTTTTTTGCAACATGTACTGTATGTGTATGAGTGTGAGTAGACACAGAAGACATTTTACTGTATATCTCCAGGCCAAAGGACAAATCTCAGGGATGTTTTCAAGTTGTACTGTGGTCTCACCCCAGGTATTCCCACTATTCTCACCAGTTACAGAGGGTGGATGAAAGGCAAGGCCATTTGAATTTGATTGTTGTTCACACTTGAATACCCATAATTAACATGCCATTTGTAAGGCATGCCAATTGTTTGAGTATGTGTTCTTAAACTACAGAAGAACAATACTGTAAAGATTTGACCTTAAGAATGCTTTTGTGTCCTATTGGCTTATTTAGCTGTTGGTTAAGTGCTAGTGTGATCTGTAAGAAAATAAATATTCTATATAAAATAATTATTCTACTTTTATCTTTTGTGTTGCTTTAGGAAGTTGATTCAGTTTGGCTTGATGAAAGGTTTGATTCGGCGCCTACAGAAGTATCCAGTCAAGGTTGTGAGAGATGAGAGTCGTCGTCCACCTAGACTTTTTACTGGCTGCCATAGTTATGATGAAATCTGTTGCAAAACTGGCAAGTATTATTTATATGCATTATGTATATTTTTCACAAGATTCCTTCATTTTAACCATTTTAATGAAAGTGACATTATTCATTGCCTGTGTTTTCAGGAATGAGTTATAAGGAGTTGGATGAGCGCTTGGAGAATGACCCTAACTTTGTCGTTTGCTGGAAATAATGTTGCAGAGGCAGAATTATATCTACAGACTATTTCAGTTAAAGAACTTATTTGAAACATGAGAGAAACAGATCTGGTCCTGGTGCTTTTGCAGTCTCGGGCTTTTGGTTCTGTACCTTTATTTATTGTAAACCAACTGCCATTTATGTATATGTGAAAGCATTATAGGTCAAAATATGAACACAAACATTTTACAAATACTGCAATGATTTAAGATGCATAAATGCAAAAATGACTAATGTTTCTACATGAAAAGGTAGGTCACTGGTTTTGAAATAATTTATGGGTGTAGTATGGTCTAATTCAGTAGTATGTTTTGAACTGGAGAACTGGAAAACATAGACAAGATCACCCTGGTGATCTAAAAATCCATGACTTTTAAAGTACCTTGTGCATTTACTGTTTAATTAGGCTTAGAATTAACAAAATAAATTTTTTAGAGGCTTAAAAGTTTTTGCTTTTGCTTTCCTGATCATGTTTAATCTGCAGTTGCACAAATATTTGATAACATCATTGCAATTAGGTCCATTTCTGTCACAGCAGTTGCATCAAATATCATGGTTGTCCTAAAGTGATTAACAAAATAAATAAATGTATGGACATGGCATCGTTTGCACAATAGTCTTAAAGTCCCTTTAACAAAATCACTAAATTGATATTCCCAGAACACTCACCAACTTGAATATTAAAATGTATATACTCTGCTTATTTTGATAATGGCAAGAACAGCTAAGCATCCTTAATTGGAAGAAAAAAAAATATTTTAACAGCTGTCATTTTAATGTCATTTTAGCAGCTCCTTGAACATACCTTTCCTGTTTACTGGAAAAACTGAATAAAAAACAAAAAAAAAACTTTTTTTATTTGAATTTATGACAGATTTATTTGAAGTCGGAATAAGAGCTATTGCTATATACAAAATGGACAAATAAAACATCACATATATTCATAGCTCTGTGCCATGTCTGACATTCTAGATGTAAATGTACCAAATTCTCCTCTCTCTTCGTCTGAGCTTGAAAGATGGCTACGAAAACAAATGGGCAAATATGCTACTCATCAAATTCATACAAGATAGGGGTACGAAAATGAAGGACACATCACATGAGTGAGGGCTGACAGCCCAAGGAACATTTAAAATCGGAGCCAGTACATAGCACTTCTCATTCTGTTATAATCTGGCAGCTGCTCTATTGGACCTGCATAAAAGAAACAATTGCAAGGTTACAAAAATTCAGTTGTTAATACAAGTGAAATTTTAAAATTCGTAATGTCAGTTTCAATACCATAACATTGGGATGGATGTCTAGCAATTTCCAGGAAATGTCCAATTTCCTTACATTAAAGTCTGATAGCCAAATTAATTATTGTACCAAATGTCCCTGTAAATAAGCTGCAGCTAGATCCAGAAAATAACCATATTAGGTATGTTAATGATTAACAACTGATCCTTAGATGAGCTTAATTTGATTATCGCCAATTAATTTCAGAACAAAAAAAAGTTAAGTAATCATGATAGCAGATGCTAAAAACACTGTCTATACTGTCATCCGAAGCTAAAGTGAGCACTACAGCTTAAGCACTGTATGACACTATGTCAAACATGCACCCTTGTCTTGAATGAGAAAAAAAAAAGTTCAACATTATCAGCCATATTATAATCACTACACTGGTTACTAATTAAATTCCTTAATTATGTGTCATGCTAATATAAAATAGAATTCCACTAAATAATCATTCACTCCCGACACAAAATTATAAACAAACAATGTATATTAAATATAAAAATAAACTGACTCACCAACTGCAGACACAGCTGGGCATTTGTCATAGATGTATTTAGAGCAGACATCCCGGACAATCCTGGGAGTCACAGCCTAGAAGCAGCAAACGAGCAAAAATTTATTCTTAAAATAAAAATGAACAATTAAATGTAACCTTAAAGAGTGCAGTCACTCAGCCACTGTGAGTTTGCTAACATGGACAATTTACCTCAATTCTGGCATCCCACTCTGCCAATGGGATGCGGCGACCATAATTTAGTATGTGCCTGCCAATGTCATCACAAACAGGTGTAGTTCCTGAGGACAGAAAGAAGAAATATGTTACAGAATTAAAGTGAGTGTGTACGTGTAGAAGCAGTCAGTTCTGAGAGGTATTAAGTCAATATTACAACAAAAAAAAGTCTGACAAGCTCTACTGCCACTATAGTTTAAAGGTGAAGTGCACAATATATCTGCAGCTGATGTACTAATTGCACAACACCAGATAAAATTAAATTATCATAATGATTTATTTTTCTCCAATATCTCCAAAAATTGGTGGGTATGTAACCAAAAAACTAGCAAAGGTAAGTCAAGTTGTGCTGTGAGGCACTGTTACATTGTTTTTGGGCTTGTTTTTAACCACGATCATCTGCTGGATATAAAAATATTCCCTTTTAAAGACTTTGTGTCCAGTACTAATAAGTGATTACTTATTTATGAAATAATTTACTTGCATCAGATGATCGCAATTAATCAAGTCCAAATACAATGCAGATTAGATTTTGAAATAATCCTCAAAGATCAACATGAGATGCTAACATGGTTAAAAACATACATCAAAAGGGTTTATACTAGTGCTGTCAAACGATTAATCGCATCCAAAATATGTTTTTGTTTACATAATGTGTGTGTACTGTGTATATTTATTATGTATATATAAATACACACACATGCATGTATATATTTAATAAAAATATGTTACGTTTATATATTAAATATATTTATATATGATATAATATATACATGCAAATATTTTCAAAATATATGCTGTACGTGTGTCTTTATACAGTATATACACTAGGGCTGATATTGTGTATATTTAACGCGCATCTTGTCAGAAAGCCGGTTCTGTAATCAGCGGTAAATCTCCATCACCTGCGGGCTTTCACATTGAGCAGCATTAACTACACAGAGCCGTTGTTCACTGAGGAGCTGCGCAAAAAATCGCTCGTCAGTGAACAACGGCTCTGTGTAGTTAATGCTGTATGTGAAAGCACGCAGGTGATGGAGATTTACCGCTGATTACAGAACCGGCTTTACTGATAAGATGCGCGTTAAATATCGCATGCGATTTATCGTGCAGCCCTAATATACACATAATAAATATACACAGTATACACACAAAAATAAACTATGTAAACAAAAACTTTTATTTTGGATGCAATTAATCGTTTGACAGCACTAGTTTATACACAAATGCTTGCTGTAGCTTGAATGACACTGTTATTGAGCCATCCCTAAACAAAAACATTACTTTTTTATTGCCGAATACAGATCCATATCTATACCACATATCATGAACTTATTGTTTAAAAAAATATATATATTTTAACAAAGCTACTGGATACAGCACTATAATTAACAGTAATTCAAGTGAAACATCCGAAAAATCTAATATTTTTTTACTAGGACTATGACTATGTTTTGATGTAAAAAGAGAGAATGTATGGACTGTGTATAAGAGTAAGAATGTTTATTACCATTGAGCTGTCCCACTAAGCTAGCCTTCAAAGCATTCTTGGCTCGAGCCACATCACTCTCAGTCACTGTGGTGCACAAATTCATCCTGTAGTACAGAAACATCAAGAGCACATCACCTCAAATACAACTACAAAACGTTGGATAACAATCCTATCTTCTCGGTATGTTGTAGCTGAACTTACCAGGCATTCTGAGCCCAATGCATCATGTCCTCTATTTTATGTTTGTCTGTAACAAAATAAATACCCAGCAGTCCAGTGTCACTGTATGAAGAGTGGAAAGCCTGGAAACTGTGACACAGGTTCAGCTCTGCAGCCAGGCGAGCCAGGCGACTGCTTAAGTGCTATAAAACATACAAGAGAAAAACAAAAAAAAATTAGTATTATGTCATGATCCTAATGCAACCACCATTTTACCTGATAAATTACAATTTGTGTCATGCTCAGCTAATTTACAGATTAAACTTAATTTACAAAATAAACCACTGTGTATACATGACAGTAATGTTTATACTAGGAATAGTAGGAAAGAAAATAATAGAAATAATATCAACAGTGGCTATCATAAAAACTGACATACGCAGATGCATTTCACTAGTCTAAAATGCCAAATAAGATTGATTTTAACATCCTTAAGAAAGCAACTAATAAATGTAGGAATGCACAATATATCAGTATGATATCAGTTATTTTTTTACGGAACCGACACCAATGAAATCTACCAGTATTGGTCAATATTAGATATACATTGGCCAGTATTGGATATTTAATGGTGTATAATGATTTCCCCAATTTTACCTTTAGCAGGGCTCGCAAAATTTGATTTCAAAATCGCTGGTAGCCCTTCGGGCAGACATTCTTCAGATTTTGGTAGCCCAAAATGAATTTAAATAGCCCGAAAAAAAAAAAAAAAAAGACATCGGCTGAACTTCACTTCGGACAAATCAGCATGATTAAAAACTTCAGTGATTGCTTTTTTTCTTCAAATAACAAGTCAAGAGAGTAGGGGTTCAACGGATCACAAAACCCACGGCTCGGATCATATTGCGTTATCATATCAGATTTTGAGTAACAGATTTTTTGCAGATGAGCAAAAAAAATATGGTTCTTTATTATTTAAATAACAGAATACTTCTTTGATACCACACACAGCAAAAACTAGTAGCATACAGGGATGTAACGATTCACTCAACTCGCGATGCAATGCAATACGATTCACGATACTGATTTCACAATCCAATTTTCTCACAATTTTTCTTTTTAACAAAATGAGATTTAAGACAAATTAAGGTGTCCTTTTATTATTTCTCCAACAACATTTTTTTGTGAAATTATAATGTCAAATAATAAAACTAACTTGAAGATTTTAAACAAATCTCAAATCAAATAATTAAATAATGCAAATAAAATAAATCTCTTCATATAAACAAACTAAGGCTTTGGCTGTGCTTTTTCCATTTAAAATCAACCACTGAACTTTAATCACGATCCAAACAAAGATGCTAAATACATGTTATTTAGATTGCAATTAGATTGTATAATTTCGAAATTTGAAGCAAAAAACAGAATGGTCTGATTTTAACTTTGTGAATGAGACACAAATGTCACTGTCTGACTGTCAGGTGGCGCTTATGGAACAGCAGGTATTTATAGGCTGCTGCCCCTTTAAGACCGAATGCAGGATCCAATATAATGATGCACTTGATATTTCTTTCACCACTGTTTACGTTCACTTAAGACATAACTGACTGTGTTTACGAGAATACTTGCAGAGACTGTTATTTTGAGATAATTTTGTGCGTATGTGTTCATTCAGATGCAAGGATATGCGAAACGATCAACTATGATCCGTTTTACCCCTACAAGCTAGTGAACAACGCAAATCAAGGAATGAATTTTATATCACTGTTCAAGATAGCCCGTCGGGCAGGGTGGTGATACATTTTGGTAGCCCGAATGGAAAACACAATAGCCCCGGGACGTCGGGCTAACGATTTTGCGAGCCCTGCTTTAGATTACCTTTGTTGTCTAAGACTCACTTAAAGTAAACCTTTAAACCCAGAAGGACGCTTTATTATCATAAACATATCAATTAACAATAACCCGGTAACAACTGCCAACATTTACGGCCCAAATTCAGATGACCCTTCCTTTTTTCACACTTTTTTTTCTTCCATTTCAAATTTCTCCAACTGCCCGGTAATTATAGGAGGCGATTTTAACACTGTAATTGACCCATCACTTGACAGATCCACAAGCAATAAACGACCCTGGCAATCCACTGACACAATAATACAGTTAATGAGAGATAGCAATAAACGACACTGGCAATCCACTGACACAATAATACAGTTAATGAGAGATTTTGGCCTCGACGATGGTTGGAGGCTACAGCATCCAACTAACAGAGAATATACATTTTACTCGCCAGTTCATCATAGCTACTCCCGCATCGACTTTTTCCTAACTAGTAACTCAATCATACCAAATATCTCTGAATACAAAATCCACCCCATCAGCATCAGTGACCACGCTCCAATAACACTCATATGGAATCCAGCTAATTTACATAAATACACCAGTAGATGGCGCTTTAACATATCTCTCCTTAAAGACCCAGAGTTTGACAGTTATCTTAAAAGAGAGTGGACATCCTTCCTAGAAATAAATGACTCTCCAAAGTCATCAGCTTCATTGCTTTGGGAAACAGGCAAAGCAGTACTACGAGGTAAAATCATATCATCATTCTCCGTCCATAAAAACAAAATAGAAAAACAAGAAATCAGACTAGAAGAAAAAATAAAAGAACTTGAAATATTACATGCAAATAACCCAACAGAAGTAATATATAATCAACTAAGAAAACAAAAATTCCTGCTAAACAAAATCATCAATAAAAGAACTCAATTTCTAATTCATAGACTCCGTCAAGAAACCTTCCATCACAGCAACAAATCCAGTAAATATTTGGCCAATCAAATTAAAAGAAACAGAGAAAAAGTAACAATTGCAACTATTAAGGACTCAGCAGGGAAGCCTACCAACTCTCCACAAGAAATAAATACAACATTCCGAAACTTCTATGCTAAACTTTATTCATCTGATAATAACACAAGACAAGAGGATATTAATTCATTTTTCAATAATATTCAACTCCCAAAACTTAACACCGAAAAAACGCACTGGACCAACCAATTACAGAAAAAGAACTTCATATCGCCCTGAGTCGAATGCCTAACAATAAAGCACCAGGACCCGATGGCTTCCCTGCTGAGTTCTATAAACACTTCTGGTCCATTTTATTTCCATTATTCATCAGAGCAATAACAGAACTAAAAGAAAATTTAAGATTACCAGTGCACATGAACACAGCCACTATTTCACTCCCCAAACCTAATAAAGATCCAACCCTTCAACCATTGATCATACTCTACAATCTCAGATTACACAATAAATTGGAATAAATCCTCAATTCTTCCACTACATCAAACCAAATGGGATGTGGCAGCCCAGATATCTCCCATTCCCCTATGCACAGGTCACATCACCTATTTAGGCGTTAAAGGTTTCCTCCAGGCTGTCAGAGCTGACTGGACTCAACTTCACTCCTTTACTGAAAACATTAGAAGACGACATTCACCGCTGGCTCAATTTACCACTCTCCATCCAGGGCAGAATAGCTATAATCAAAATGACAGTACTCCCAAAAATAAACTACTTATTCTCAATGATCCCAACCCAACCTTCTCTCACTTGGCTGTGACATGACATGCCTGTGAGTTGATCATATCTGTGGGTGACGAAATCAAGAGACTGATTAACAATGACAATGTTTAAGCTTGCTCTGTGCTGCATTTCATCAAAACAGAATGAATTCTCATACTTCATTATAACATCCTGCTTATTTCATTTCTACTTTCAAGATATGGAACAAAGCACAAAGCTTATTGTGCATTTTATAACAGCTTTTAGGTGAAATCCTTATGCTGAATTTTCCAGGAGCCATCTTAATTTGCCAAAGAATTCAAGTAGCATCGAGAATCCCTGAACACGCTAAACAAATGTTTAGGAAATGAAATTTAAGCAAAGTTGTAAACTAACCTTGCCACCCCCAAATGTGATGTCATAGCTACCAATGATGGAATTGGCAACCATAAGTGGCACAATATCAGGGCTTGCAGCTCCAGCTCCCTCTACAGCAATAGAAATGTGTGCTAGAGGCATTGCATCATCACGCATACAAATCTGAAAGCAAGACAAGATCAGACCAACAGAAAGTAAATCAACTGGTCAAGTAATGGCAATAAACAGACCCTCTCATACACACATGCAATTAATAAAGCTACCTCACTCCCAGTGAAACGGCATGGGGACAGAACAGGTACAGCATCACCTTCATATTCAAAAGAAACGCCACTGAAATGCTGCTTAGCCAGAGCCACAAGCTCATCATGGTTTACTCCTGCAGCAGAACAAAAAGACAGTGTTTAAGCAATCAACTCAGCTTTGTGTGGGTTTTCTATTTAAACACTACTGTATGACAAGTTTGATAACAGTTCAAGAGCAGTACCTCCAGCTGTAGCCAGGACCATGCGAGGAGCTTTATAATGGCTATTGATGTATTCCACTAAATCATTACGAGTTAGTATCCTTGAAAATACAAAGAGCAAAAAAAAACCTTTTCCATCAAATTCTTAGGAACAGGTTTCATTAGGTATGTTTGCATTTACACAAATTTTCATCAATGAGAATTAATCCAATCCGGTTTCAGTTTTCGAAAGTTCTGTTTATATAAATCCTAAACTTTGCAATGCAATTCACATTTTTATTTAAATGTGCACTTACGTATGCCGAACAAAATGTCAGCATATCCACAATGCAAGCATATGAATCATATTAAATACATTATCTCAAGGCTGTGTGTACCTGGCATTGGCAGAGGGACCAAGAACACTATGGCCCAGAGGAGTACCCTGGAAGGCAGTAGCATGGAGCAGATCCAGGCAAACATCCTGCAAGCTACCTTGCACCTCTTCCAGCTCTCTTAGCACCACACCCCTCTGCTGCTCTATATCAGCCTCACTCAAAGATGAGCTCTGCACTACTTCTGCCAAGAGCTCCACCGCTAAAAAGAATACAATAAAGAGATGACATTACTAAGAAAGAGTAACACTTCCGGATTATTCAGAGAAAGACTACATGTTCTATGCCAACATGACATACTCCATTCTAGAGCTCATCTAGATCTATCAGGTCATTTATCTATCCACATTAGCATGAAGAAACTGCGCCTGTTTGAAAAATTGGCCTCTCTTTTTTGTTTGTTGTATAACCTTTAGGCAAGTCCTTGGCAAGGGTCTTCATGTAGTAAGCAGTACGTTCCCGTGAGGTGTATGCACTCAAGTGAGCTCCCATAGACTCCACTGCATGTTCAAGAGCGGACTGTGGGTGCTTATTTGTGCCCTTGATCCAAGAACAGTTTGGAATAAAAAGTGTGCAAATTAGTGAAACAACATTAAAAATTTTTAATTGCTTTCACACTACAAGTCTACAACCAATTCCAATTAACAATATTCATGTTTTTCTTACTATAAACAAATTAAGCATTTTACATCAGGTGCTCGTATGAAGTCCTAGAATTCAATAATTATTGCAAATGTCATCAAAACCTGACCTCAGATTTCCCACTATGTAAAACACTCAGGGTGCATTCCACTTCACTTTTAGACACACACTAGTAAGCTTCCCTAAGCACTTCCTCTGTGGGAATCCCTGCTGGATGCGTACATCCATCCATCAATGAGATGAAGGGACATAAGTGAGGGAAGGGCATAAAAAAAGCAAAGTGAAACACACCCTAATAAGCAAAATACAAAGGTGAAAAGATTATATTTTGAAGAATGTTGGGAAAGAAGCAATTGCCAGTAGCCATTTACTTCCATTGTATGGAAAAAGTCAACTGCTACCAGCAACAGTTTGGTTACTAACGTTGTTCAAAATATATTCTTTTGTGCCCAGCAGAAGAAACAAACTCATACAGGTTTGGAACAAGTGAAGGGTGAGTAAAAAGACATCATTTTCATCTTTGGGTGAACTATACTTTAAGTTTACGATACGGTGCATTTTTATTACATTTGAACTGTAAAAAATGTTTTGATTGGTAACAATCAAGATCTAATATGATGTTAAGATAATATAATTCTTTAAGTCATATCATGACATGATCATTAGGCAGTGATACCCAGCCCTAGTAACAATGTTTATTTAGAGAGAATGAAACCAAGTAAAGGTTTATTGCTTACTTTAAAGGCCATATGCTCCAGGAAAAATCCAGCTCCATTATTCTTCTCAGACTCATATCTGCTCCCACAATCTATCCAAAGGCCAACCTACAAAGCCAGACAGATGAAAAGCAGAAGAAGAATTACATCAGCAGTTCAGGTTGATTTCCTTTTGAGTTTCCTTTTGGATAAACATTTGGAAATGGAAAAATTAAAGTACAGTTCTTCGGGCTTTTTTCAAGTCCTGTTATTTTTGACATGCATAAAACATTTACTTTATTTGACGTTTATTTTCTTTTTACCAAATTAAAAATGTTATATTTCAGGTACTTATATTTCATTGCAACAACATTAGAGTGCTAGAAAGTGTGAGGACCTTACAATTCCCTCAATGAGAATTAAAATCACATCTGCAAAAAATAAATAATTGATTTTTACAGTCTGAAAACAGCTATTTACCGTGCATGTGGCTTGGTTGGTCTCTTCAGCGGCAATCCTCAAGCCATTGCTTAGAGTACTTAGCCGTGTTTCTGGAGCTCCTAGCAGGCTCTGAGCATATGACACAGAGGCCTGTCCTCGTCTCAGAGACAGCAGAAGAGGCTAAAATAATGAAAAGGGTAGACATAAGTATATGGTGAAAGTTCCTTGTATTAATTTTAAAAGCAAACCAAAAATCACAGACTAACTCAATGATATAGACAAGAGGCTGACCGATAAGACAAGATCTGAATAAAGTGGTTGATTTGACCCAGTAGCCAGAGATATTTTTTATGTTTTTTTAATAAGTCATATATTGTAAAAAATATTACAACATAAATGAACTGTTTTATATATTGTTGTGATAGCAATGCTTTTCAGCAGTAAACACTGCTAATAGGAATTAGTACGGTGGCCGAGAGCTGAACGTGCGGCAAATACAAAACCATCCGCAAATTAAGAAAACATCTTCATCAGTTTGACAACACATGCACTACAAATACTCTCAACACAACCAAACACAGAAACGCGCTGCAAATACTCACAACACAACCAAACAGAAACGCGCTGCAAATACTCACAACACAACCAAACACAGAAACGCGCAGCAAATATGCACAGACCATATCGGAAAAGCCACAAGTGATGAACCTGGCTTTGACATGCTTATCAATGTCTACTCTGAAAGGTGAGATTTTTGTTTATTTAAACATCCTGATCATATGATTCCTTGGCTTTTTTGTATACTATTAGCCTAAATAAGCTGACGAAATACACAATTACTGTAACTGTGAAATGTTATGTAAGCTGGCTAACTTATTTACATTTATTTTACAACTTCCCTTACAAAAATTGACCATGGTTTTACTATTTAAAAAAAAAACAGTTACTACAGTTAAACCATGGTAACCACTAGGGGTGCAATGGTTCAACTTACTCACGGTTTTAGAGTCACGGTTTCGGTATGGTTCAGTATGTGCTATGTTTAGGTAAAAACTATACTGTCAAATAAAAATAAAGAAAATAAGAATAATCTATCTAACTACACGCAACAGCACAAATAAATACAATAGAATATAAAGATACAAATAAAATCAACAGTGATTTTCAGTTTTTTTTTAGGTCGGTGTAACATTAGTTTTTAGGTACAGAAATTGAATAAAGTAATGAAATGTAAAACAGCATTGCATATTTGACTGTATAA